GGTGGTGGTGGTGGTGGTGGTGTGTGTGTGTGTATGTCTAAGATCACACCTTCCCCCTGCTCTCTTCGTAGGCCCAGCTCTGTCTCCTGCTGCCCCCTCCTGCTTCTGTCCCCATCTGGGATGCACCATCCCCAGTGGGCTCGCCTCCCAGCCCCTCCTTGAGGTTCACACCCCCTCATCACAACTCACTAGGTCTTCCCTACAACTCTTCCGCATACAGCCCCCCCACCTCCCTGACTCACATTAACGGTAGAGCCGGACGTGAAGGGACTGAATGAAGTTGTCAGCAAGCTGCCCGCTCCCCACACGCCATCCCTCCTAAGCAGACTACAAACTGCCCGTGAGAGCCCTGCACAAAAAAAGCCATGAAGACCAGCTGTGGGTCCCAGCATGGCCAGTATCAGCTGCAGGACCCTGGACCAGACCGTCCCAAAGTCATGAGCCTGCCCACCTCGTGGTTTTGCAAAGCTGTGCACGGGCTGTTCTACCATCACGTAGGGTCACTGCAGTGCATTTGTCTTCAACTCGGAGACAGAGCCCCGGGGTGGTCCAAACCGTTAGGCCCTTGGCTATTTATTAACTCAAAGTTGGCTGGTTGGAATCTGCCCAGAGGCCCCTGCTAAGAAAAGCACTCCTCAGGGGGTTGGTGGCACCCTGAGAGATAGCATCCCTGGCCCATCCAGTAAGCAAGCGCTGCACAGCTGGAGCAGGAGGCAGACAGTGACCAGGGCCACTGGTGCAGTGAGGAGGAGCCCAGCTGGGCAGTGGACAGGGGCAGCCAGGAGGCCACGGCTGAGGACAAACAGGACAGCCATTCCTGGACAGCCAGGCACGAGGACCAGCAGAGACAAAGGCTAGGAGACAGAAGTAACACGCCGTGGCAGACCCCCAGTGACACCGGTCCTGGGCTGATGTGGGTGCAGGGGGTGGGGGGCGGTGAGGGCTGGGCTTCAGTCTGGGGAGCAGTGGAGAGATTCAGGGGTCGGGACAAAGCTGCCAGGAGAGCCTTCCTCTAAGCTCTGACAGCCCCGGCAGCATAAGAGCTCAGAGTCTGTGCACTGGGTTTGCGGATGGGAGAAAGACGAGGCTCTCAGCTCCTAGGGGGAGTTGCAGCCTCGGACACCCACGGGGCCAGTTCTACTGGGCTCTGTAGAGGTGGGGCTTGGGGTGGTTTACAGTGGGAGCCCTAACCCCAGTTCTAGCCTCCAAGTCCATTCAGCCCCCAGAGATTTCCTGCCCCTTGGCTGGCGGTGTAGCAAACAGTGTGGTTGAAAGCTAACGCTGTCACTCCGAAGGCGGTCCAGGGAGGAGCAATCTCGCCCTCAGGGACTTGCTTGGTGTGCCCTTGATGGAACTTGGGGTTCCAGGGGTGGGTCTTCCGGCCGACCCACTGTGGTCCAAAGGCACAGACTCCCAGCTTCCAGCAGTGTGCGTAGCCCAGTCGTGCCGGGTCCCTCTCCTGCTTCAGCAGTGCCACATTTGCCTATGCTGGCTGATGGCTCTGCCCCCCACTTCAACTTTGTGACAGTTCCATGGTGGCCCGTGTCCTGTGTCAGTCACCACCTACCGATGAGTCCCCATGTGGCGCCAGCATGGGCTCACGCAGATGGTCTCCCGCCCCCCTCCCAATGAGTCCTCTCTGTCTTGTGTTGCTCTGTGTAAGACCGTAAATAAAATGCATTTGAATCTGGGGTCTCTTCCCCCGACCCCCGACAGCATGGCTGACCAAAGAACCATCTCCAAGCCAAGCTGGGAGTAGAAAGAGGAGGGTGAAGATCCTGCCCCCACTAACCCTGCGGCCCATCCACCGTCTGTGACCATCGAGGCAGGGCACACAGTAGGGCTGTCCCTGTTTGCTGACCGGCTGACTAACCTGACCACTTGGCTGTGTCCCTGGGGAACCAAACCTAAACAATTCGCTGCCTTGCAGTCAATCCTGACTCACAGTGACCCTCGCAGTAGGTCTGAAGGGGACGGTCCCCTGGGGCTCCCAAGGCTGTCATCTCTATGGAAGCAGACTGCATCATCTGCCTACTCATCCATGTCTACCTCTTCACTGGCCGCCCCCATGAGCCCTTTAAGGCAGGGCTGGGTTTCTTAGGCTGCAAATCCTCACAGAAGCAGACAGCTCTATCTTTTTCCTGGGGGGGTGACTGGTGAGCTTGAAGGACCCACCTTGCTGTTCGTAGCCAGGCTTGTAACACTCGACTGCACTGAGGCTCCTCCTGAGAGCACCCCCACCCAGCCTCACCCTGGCACCCACGCCCAGGCACTTAACCACAAGATGCTGCTGACCTCTAGTGGCTGCAGCTGGCCTGGCGTCTGGAGGTGCAGATCGAAAGCCTTCTGGTCAGCCTGGCTCCTGAACTTTTTTTTGGCCATCCTTCTAGAAGCTTTCTGCCCCGTCTTGTTGGACAGATGAGGACCCACAGAACCAGCAAGGCACATGAGCTGCTGTGGGCCACACAGCTCGATCGAACATTGTGCGAGGCAGGAGGCATCAAGAGAAGATGGAACGAAAACACAGAGTGACCACACCAAAAAGGACCGGTCAGCATCCCCCCATTTCAGAGGCAACATGTGAGCCAGAGCCAACAGGGCTGCAGAAGAAGTTCAAGCTGCACTGACAGCGCCAACCACAGAGAAAGTGATGCATGTGCATTGTGGGGCTGGAAAGAAATGTTGGAAGAACCCTCGACGGCTAAAAGAACAAACCTACCTGTCTTGGGAAACGGCACAGCCTGAGTGCTCCGCAGAGACAAGGATGGCGAGACTTCGCCTCAGGTACTTTGAACATGATGTCAGGAGAAGGAGACCATGTTTGGTAAAGTAGGGGTGGCCGGTGGGCTTCGAAACATGAAGGCCCTCAAGGACACTGATCGGCATGGTGGCTGCAACAGTGGGCTCACACGTAGGAACAATGGTGAAGGTGGTGCAGGACCAGGCAGGGCTCCGTCTGTTGCATGGGGTCGCTGAGAGTTGGAATCGACCTGGTGGCCCCTGAGAACACCATAGTCAGTTCATGGGTCCCAGAGAGCTAAAGTCAAGTTCCTGGGTCCTGCTTCACCTGCCGGGCACTCGATGATGGAGCG